GCGCGGCGCGCAGAGGAGCCGTTGCCCAGGCCTTGCTGCCGAGGGAGCCGCGGCAGGCGCCACCAGGGGGCCTGAGAACGTGCGCGAGGCCTCAGTGTAGGGCGGTGGCCAGCAGGCCTGCGCTGCGACTCCTTGGGGGCCAGCCCCCCGGCGCCCAGACTTGCTCTGTCCCGGGGCGGGTTGGTGTCATAAAGCGTTGCCCGGCTGTGTGTCACAGTGGATGTTTGCGGCAGCCTGCCGCGCCCGCCCCCCAGACCCTAGGCAGCTGCAGCCAACCGGGAGGGCTGGGGTGACTTCAGAGGGGCCAGCGGGCAGGGACGCAGGAGCGGTGTGCGGCCAGGCCCCAGGTGGGGACAGCCGTCGGGCCAGGGGAGCGTCCCGGGAGGGCACCAGCAGCGCCGGGGTAGGGTGTCCCCAGGTTGGGCCCCTTGGTGGTCCTGGCCTCAGCCAGTGCTGCCTCCTGTGGGGATGTGCTGCTGGGCGGTCACCAGGGTGTCTTGGGCCGGAGGCCTGTGGTGGGCCCGCCCTGGTGTGTGCCTAAGACCCCACGAGCGGGGTCAGTCCAGCGTGTGATGTGGGCTGGGGCCTGTGCTGTCTGGCTGCGGGTGTGAGGCGTCCTGCCTCTGGCCACTGTGGCCCGTGAGGGGGTGGTCAGGTGAGGCCCAGCCAGGCCCCAGAGCCCCTGTCGGTGTGTGGGCCCCCCGAGCACTCTGGGGGGGGCCTCCTTGAGCTCGGGTGGCTGTCCCCCACCCCGACTCCTTGCACAGGCCTGGGAGACGCCTCCCCTGAGCCTGTGCCAGACCCCCGGACCAGGAAGGTCCCTTGTCGGACAGGATGGTCGCCTGGGGTGACAGGGCTGGTGGGCCTCAGCCCCTCTGAGCTGGGCCACGGAGGTGCTGTTTGCGTGCGGCTCAGCCGGCTACCTCTGCCGTGCCGCGGGAGGAGCCGTGGGCCAGGCCCAGGCCGCCACCCAGGATGGGGCAATGAGGGACAGCTGGCCTCGGTGCCTGGGGGGACCAGGGCCGCTCTGTGTGTGGGCTCCTGGGTGGTCCTGCCCCGGGCGCAGGTCTCTGGGGTGCCTCAGCCCTCCTGGTGTCCCCCGGGGAGGGGGGCGGCTTCCCGTGATGGGGAGAGTGGGGGACAGGGTGTGCGCAGAGGCCGGTCTCGGCCCTCGGGGCACCAGGGCTCCACCGCGTGGGAGTCTGCAGCGGGGCGGGCCAGGCACGGCCAGGGCAGGCAGCAGGCGTCTGCTACTGGGGAGCCAGGCCGGCGCATCCTGCAGGCCCCACAGCCCCCGGGGCCTGAGCCCGGCCCTCCCATCTTTGCCTGTGACACGCCGGCCTCCTGTGTCCCCAGCAGTCGGGCTGCCTGCTTTCGCTTCTGGCCTGGGTCCCCACATGGGCCGGGGCGGGCCCTGCCTGGGGTCCAGGCAGCGGTCACGGGCCAGCCCAGTCCCTGGGTCCTCCCGGAGTGTTGGCGGGGACACCTCGGGCCAGATGCAACCTGAGCACGTCAGGGTGGGCATCCTGGCCGAGCTGGGAGTGTTCGTGTGCCAGGCCCAGCCCTGCCGCTCTAGGCCAGGCCGGGCCCTGTCGGGGCCACGCTGGACCCCACTCAGGCTGTGCCCACTGTGTCCCCCCAGGACAGGTCCCGGAAGAGGAGGCGGCCCAGAACGGACAGAGCCGGGGCCCGCCCAAGGCTGTGTGCATGAACGGCACAGAGTCGGCGCAGCTGAGCGCCAGGCCCAGGGCCGAGGGCCGGGCACCCCACACCGCCCGCAAGGCCTGCTCTGCCAGCAGCAAGATCCGCAGGCTGTCGGCCTGCAAGCAGCAGTGAGCACCTCAGGTGGGACGTGGGCACGGGGACCCCGTGGTCTCTCTGGCTGCACCATGGCCGCTGAGGCCTGCGCGGCCGCGTGGCAGGACTCCTCTGGGCGTCGTGTCTGTTCCCTTGGCCACTGGGGCCTGGCGTCGGGCGGGGTGGAGGCCGCTGTCGGCGTTGGGCTCGTAGAGGGAGGGGCTCTCTCCTGAGGGCCCCGCCCTGCACAGCAGCACCTGCCCTCCCCTCACCAGCCGGCCCAGGACAAGGCTGTGCCCGCGTGGCGGAGCTGTGGAGGCCGCGTGGGTGGGTGCTGGCCGGGCCTGGAGGCTGCCTCTGGGTCTGCTGCGGCCGTCGTCCTCGTGGCCTCTTCCTGCTCTGGCCGCCCCAGGCTCGTGCACAGGAGGCCCTGGCTCCTCTGAGGCAGTGGGCTGGGAGCCCGAGGCCGCAGCCCCCGCGCCCTCTTGGGGCGGCCCCGGGACCGGGCTCAGCTGTGGCATCAGATCCCGCGGCAGGCTGCCCCGGGCCCAGCCTCCCCGGCA